TTGGACCTGATGATTATTATTTACATTTTAAAGCCAAGGATATTACTGGCATTTCAAACGCTGCATTTTTATTACGGTTGATCTCTCGGATTGTAAATCGTTCCATTTATAATGGCTTCTAAATAGTATAGGAGATGAGCGCAAACCTTTACCTGCAATCAGATCTCAGTCCCTATTTCAGGGGTAGGCAACTTCTGCAATCCAGCTGTGATGAAACTACAAATCCTATGATGCGTGGGCCCCTGGTAGTCATGCTTGTGGCTGTCAAGTCTTGTAATGCCCCATGGGACTTGTTGTTCCACAACAGCTAGAGTGCCAAGGTTGCCTACCCCTGTCCTATTCAGAATGCAGTTGCCTTGGTGCCACACACGTGATCAATATATCACCAGCATTTAAGGGTTAAAAAGCTTGGTTGAGAGCTGAAATAAGCACACCGGCAACCTTAACAGGTATTAGCAGAGGCATGCCTCGGTTTTGGGATCCAGTTACATTGGAGGGTGTAGTTCCGCTCTAAACTGGACTAAAAGAATGAAAGCTAGAACGAGAAACATTTCCTATAAATATCATTTTTCAGAACATCAGACCTCGAAGGAGCGGATGCATTAAAAATGTTCCAAAAAGAAGTTACTTGTTGCCTATAGCAACCCAATCGGAATCCCTGTTTCAAGTTCAACTCCGCACTGCAGACATGACAGTTCATAATGATTGGTTGCTAAGGGAAACGGTTAAGTTTTCCCATCTACTTAACACTTTTCATACATCAGCTCCTCAGCGAGAACGGACAATTCTGGCCTTAAACTGGGATCAGAAGGGAGCTTTGACCGCAATTAGGGCAACTCATGAAAACAGGAGTTAGGAACAAAAAATGATGATATGGATCAGAACCAAATACATTAAAACAAAAAAAACTTTTTGATTTGGTTCTGGAAGCATCATTCTTTCTTACCCAGAACTCAGTCACCCTTCTAAAAATGAAAAGGTTAAAAAAAAACCTCATATGAGGAGCTTCAGATGGTAACCATTAGGGATGCGCCGATACCGGTACTTCCGGTAGCATTGAGGCGGCTTCCCGGCCAATCAGCATCGAGCAGGCCAACAGTGTGGAGCCGGCTTTCCGGCCAATCAGGAAGCCAGTTGGAGTCATTACCCGTGGGCCGGCTTCTTGATTGGAAAGGAAGCCAGATCC